GTCTACAGGGTGTCCGAAAAATGTCTCGCAATCCGAAAGTGGCGGGTTCCTCGGGTCATTCGAAGCAACTTTTTCCTTTACAAAAATTTTCTCCGAGGCACCGTTAACGAGTTATTAACGAAAAACAGTGACCAATGAGAGGCGAGCTCGGCTGGCGCGAGACGACCGAGCCAATGAACGGAACTGGGCTTCGCGCGCTGGTTGGCTGGGCCGCCTCGCGTCAGCCGTACTCGATTCTTATTGGTCACTGTTTTTCGTTAATAACTCGTTAACGGTGCCTCGGAGAACATTTTTTTAAAGGAAGAAGTTGCTTCGAATGATCCGAGGAACCCGCCGTTTCCGGATTGCGAGACATTTTTGGGACACCCTGTATATTATTATTATACTGACTATTGATCCTTATGCAAAACAAAAATTGTCTGCATTAATTGCAAGAAATAAGCACCACATGAGCATATAATCCTTTCTACTAGATAGTACACCCTGTATAGTAACCTAAACGTGTCAACTACCAAAATTGAAAACCAAAAAAATTATAACCTTAACGAAAGAACGACAATGCAAACATAACGCTCTCTATCGGTGCAAATCAAAATTACTTTCTTGCCAACGCAATTGGACACGAAACATTGCACTTAATAAACAAAAATAGACAAACGACGAACTAATATTTATATTATTTATATTTGTATTTTATTTATATTATATTTATTACTATAAAATATTATTTATGTTATATTTATATTTTATTTATATTATATTATTTATATTTATATATTATATATAATTATTTATATTATTTACACGAAACATTGCACTTAATAAATAAAACTAGACAAACGACGAGCTAACATTTCAATCTTCCGCATGATAAAAAAGAAAGTAAAACTAAACAGTTAAATATCATTTCACGCGCGCGCGATTATTTCATTCACAGTTCCAGAAAGACAAAACGCGCATAGTCAACTTGCGTCAGTGTTAGAATCCATGCAAGTTAGGCCAATAGTATTATACGAGGAAGGAGAGCGTACCGAATTTCCGTGGAAAGAAACCGAAGCTGTCTCCGATCAGAAAATTATTTTAAATACGAGGATCGATATCGTCGCGCCAGCTGCGTCAGCAGGCGGTCGAGTAAGGAATTCGTTTCGGAAAAATCCTGCAGCTCGAACGAGGTGCCGCCATTGTGTCCTCTCCGATCCTCGTAAAATTTCGTACAAAGCGCGTAAATCGCAGGAACAGGCGGCAAACAGGTTGTCCAACAAAAAAAACAGCAGCATTCCCCGCAGGTATTTCTTGAACGTTCATTTTTTATTAGCGATAAATAAACTTACATATCTTTACAGTAACAACATCCTCTCGTAACTCTCGGAAAATATGGTAATTATCTATCCGCGTAAATACAATATAGATCAAGACTTCCATTCTGTTGTGTTCTCGTATCATCTTATTGTTGCTGCCACGTGCATGTGTTCCTCGTGGATTTAACCGTTCAACAACACACACCGACGAAAATACGGGAGCTCTGATCCTTTTTTTGGGAAAGTAAAGTAAACGAGAGAAAGAAAGAAAGAAAGGAGAAAAGAAACGAAACGAAACGAAAGAAAAACCCTGTACGACGCGAAACGCGTACGGAGGATCTACGGCTGCGTGTACGGTTCAAAATGGCGCCTACGAGCCTTCGCGCATCGTCGACGCGCATCCCGTGAGCACTCGCTCTCTCGAGACGCGCGCGACCAATCGCCGAGAGGCGCCGTCGTCTCGACGCGTCCGACGCAGGACAACCGCTTTCGATTCTAATCTCTACAAATCGGCCATTCGCTCGACTCTAAAAGCAACCGGAGTATCTGTACGTGCAATAATTGTTGCTCTCTCAGCTCTGTGTGTCTGTATGTATGTATGTATGTATGTGTGTGTTTTATTCACGAGCCCTCGACCGCGTCGACAAGCTCGCGAACGTGTGAAACGAATCACGCGCGTCCTCGACTTTTAACACTCTCGAATTTACAAGCACCGAGTTTCTGTGTCGCGCAGAGCTCCGAACGGTGGACGATTCCAATTTGTCCGAGCCTTCGGGTCGAAAATTCACTGTCACGTATTCGTCGAAAAACATGGTCCGAATAGAAAAACATCACTGTGTTCGTGTGTAGCAGGATCGCCGCCTTTGGCAGTGGTTGCGATTGAAAACAGCTTATGATATCGCGAGTACAGTCCACCCGAAAGCCGCGACAATCGGACGATCGGAGGGCTCCACCGTTAAATCGCGGCGTCGCGTCCGCGGAACGATATAAGAGAGGTTAGGAAAGACGCGCGACGCTTTTACAGTCGGCGCGGCGCAGTGCGCGCGCGATTCCCGGCGTATGCCTGGACTGTGGTCAAAACAGAATAAAATAAAAACTTCAACGAAAACTTCTTTCCCGAGAAAGTTTTTATTTTATATTCGCTCGAGCATCCCCAACGGAAGAAACGAACCTCTCTCTCTCTACGCGCAATTCGCGTAGCCCCCGCGAATTGGTTCTAGAAAAATGTAAAATCGAAGAAACATCCACAGTCCGGCGATAGCGACATAACCTCGACGAGTCTGCGCGCGCAGCGACCGCAAACCGTGCTTCAACGATAGCGAGCGTACAAGTTTCGTCGAACGTAAAAAAAGAAAAACAAACAAACAAACGGGAACGCAATTAGCGAGGATCGTGCCGATCGCAACGACCGTCGCGCCGTCGCAAGATTTTCGGCGGCAAACATCATTTCGGCTCTCTCATTGCGTCTCTCCAATCGCGGCCATTTTGTGTCCCGGCGGCGTTGCCGGTCCGAACATTCCCGTTTTCGCAGAATCCGCCTCTGTCTCGAAGCGTCCGTACTCCGCGTCGAAACCGAATCGCCTGTACTTTTCTCCTCGCCGACGGAAAAAAGGCTATACAATAGTCGAAAAATATGATTCGCCGATTAATCTCGTACAAGGCGATATATATATGTGGTTTATACATACATAATATTTATACGCATGTACCAGTTAAGAGGAAAAAGCTTTCGTTTAATGATATACCGGGTGTCCCTTCGGTTCACACGCCGGAGGTAATCGTTACGTATGCGTGTACCGTGACCCGCAAAAGTGTTCGTACACCTTTTGAAGCATAATAACTTTCTTAAAACTGAACTAAGTGATTTAGATTTTTTTTCAGATGATAGAGGGCCTGGTATACTAGGCAATGGAGCAAAATGTCTTTTTTAACCGTTTGCAGTCGAACAGCAACTCTGAGGCGCCACTGAAAATTGCTATATCATTCTCCAACATGATTCTTGCGTTTATCTGTACTTAATAAATTGTTCCAAGCGCAAATGTTGCGACAACAACATTATAACATTAATGTTATATGTACAGTAGGAAAAATAATTATCAAAAGTAGAAATACTATAGGTTAGAAGTACTGAAAACCAAGAGTTTTCAGGTTAAAATAACGTCGAGTGCGAAGAGTTAAATTTTGCTATTATTTGCAATGACAGAAGAAAATCAAAAACGAGAGTTTTTTTAACTTATTTATCCTTGTAACGATTATTAAAAAAATGCCTCTCGTAGATCTCGGTAACCTATATGCTGAAAATTGATCTCCCGTTAGTTAAGTTAACCGAGAGTCGAGCTACAAGCGTCGAAAGATTTTCAAAACTGCAGATTTATTACCAAAACGAAGACATTTGTTTCAACATACAGTATCTCCATTTGATACAATTGTTTTTATCACGTATAAAATTGAACGTGTATGCTTATAGAATACTTCTGCCATTTGACAATTCATCAGACAAATTTAATATCACGAATATTCATTCGGATATAGTGCAGCAATATTTAACGTCGTCTCAGAGTCTCCACTCAAGTGCGAAGAGTTAAAGAACGAGAGTTTTCTATTTTTTTTCTGTCACTCCAAATAATAGCAAAATTTAAAAACACAAAACGTTTTGGTCATTGTCTAGTATACCAGTCCCTGTGTCATCTAAAAAGACATTCAACTCACTCGGTCCGATTTCAAGAAAGTTATTACGTCTTAAAAGGCGCGCATAATATTTTTGCGGGCCACTGTACGTTCACGAGCATGTCCAAGTGTCATTGTGCGCGCGTGCGATCGAAGTACGTCACTCGCGCCGCCGAGAATTCGTCAAAACCTTCCACCCCTCGATCGCAGCATCGCGGCTCGTACAAAGCATCCCCGTGCAACATTCATCGCCCAACGTCGATAATTCCGTCGATAATTAGCGATCATCGCGCGTCGTCGAGTCGAATACGTCTGCTGCGTGGCCAGCCGTCCCCGGATGGTCAAGGGCGACGTTTTTCTTGACCGCAAAAAAAATGAACGCCCTATCGATCCGCGAACGGGTCAACGCAACCGAACATCCCTTTTCCGTTTTTGTAGTTCTCGCGAGGCCGCGCACGGTTGTGGAAAAAAACGTCCACAAAAGGAGCACCTCGTCGACGGTTTTACAAAAAATTTAGCGCGCCTTAGCCACCGCGAGCCACGTCCCAATCTCATCCTCGAGGCTGGACGCGCGCTCACGCGATTCACAAGATCACGATCTTACATGTAAAAAAGAATGAAACATCCCCCCGCAGCCCTCCGCGCGCAGCTGTCCCGTTCGAGCGGTCGAGGTTTTGTCGTTTCTCAAGTCACTTCCACTCCGAGAGCACTATTATAGGTTCCACACTGATTTCAGAGAATGGACCCCAACTGCCTGGAACACCTCCGACCCCCTGGCCAACATGCTCTGACCCCCTGTCTCGTCGCGACGTCGTGATTAACGCTAAGTGTCCTTAGGATAAGTAACATTGAACCGCGCGCGACAACGTGTCCCATCGTAAGTAAGTTTGAAGCAATATCGTTGTTCCTGTTTTGTTTTCATTGCGCGAAACGATCGGCGAACGCGGCTGCGTCCGTTTGCCACCGGTCTCACAGCGACCAACTCTTTTTCTAGCCGGCACCAGACGGAGGACCGCGACGCAATGAGCGTCTTCCAAGTGTAGAACATTCGCAGCCGGCTTCGAGGAGAGTCTCTGCGGTGGTCCTGGACCATCGGATGAATTCTTCTGGATCCCTTAACGCTCCCCTTCAGGATTCTGAGCGTTCACAGCAGCAACGCCGGTGGCAACGGCCGCGGCGTACCGCTGTCGCCTTCTCCTAACGACGGAGAGCGTGCTCAATTTTCGACGGCGGTGCGAAGACGGGACCGAGGAACGACTGTAATCCCATCTCGCTGCCCGTCTGCCTCAAAGGACCGGTTCTTCGTCGGTGTCCTCATTGTCCTCTTGCTCCTGCGCCGCGCACTGGGCTCCGGATCCCGCTGGCAAGGAGCTGGTTTTTACTCGTCTTTGCCTCTTCTGCTGACCGCCGCCGCCGCCGCTGCCGCCGTTGCTGCTGCTGCTAGCGCTGGAGATACTCGAATTGCTGATCGAGTTAGCGCAGGCCAGGTCCAAGTCTGTTCGGTGGCCGTGCGCGTCTATTAATGGCCGCAGGGCGGACCTCAGGGACCAGGAGAGCCGGGGATAGGTGCGCTCTTGCTGCGTCGTCGACTCTTTGCTTTGATTCTGTGCCTGCGGAAGAATGAATTGTTTTAATGATGATTCAAGTATCGACAAGATTCAAGAGGAACATGGAGTAACGATTGCAGTTCAATAGGGTAGCAATATGTTAGCATGGCGAAGGTCGGCGAAGGTGGAAAATGACGACAGAGGAAGCTGTTGACCTACGAAGCTGTTGATCGATTCACTTGATGTTCATGTACTGCTCGTAGCGTCGATGAATAATGGAATGGAGGAGAAAGAGTGAAGGGTTTGAGGTAATTGAGATAACTGAATCGGAGCGGGTCTAGTGTGACAACGTCGTCCGACACGATCTCTCCTCTACATTTTGAGACCGATTAGAATTTTCTAACATTTTTAGTTTTCACGTGATACTTAATTTTTATAACAAAGTTTGAGCTTTCACAAAAGCTCATTTCTTTCAAAAACCGAGAGTGATGAAGCAATTCGGTTTTCCACATTAATTTATAGTTATTTAGAACAGAAAACAATTAATAAATTATATACCACTATATTCAGAAAACTCTTCTCTACATTTTGAGATCGATTAGAACTCTCTAACGTTTTCACTTTTCACGCAACACCTAATTTTCATAACAAAGTTTGATCTTTCACAAAAGCTCGTTTCTTTCAAAAACTGAGGCTGATGAAGCAATTCGGTTTTCCACATTAATTTATAGTTATTTAGAACAGAAAACAATTAATAAATTATATACCACTATATTCAGAAAACTCTTCTCTACATTTTGAGATCGATTAGAACTCTCTAACGTTTTCACTTTTCACGCAACACCTAATTTTCATATCAAAGTTTGAGCTTTCACAAAAGCTCATTTCTTTCAAAAACTGAGGGCGATGAAGCAATTCGGTTTTCGCATTCTTGTCCGGAAAACGAAGCTCTACAAGCATTTCATATCGGCTATAGGAAATCCGGAAAAGGTTTGACTTTATCGGATAATTATCGCTCGCGGGCCTCGCTAAATGCGCGCCTAACAATGACGACCGGCGCTATAAATACCGCGCTCACCTCGGCAAGGTCGCTCGGCCTGGTTTCCTGGGAAGCCACCAGCTTCTTGCTCTCGGCGAACTGCCTGATCGATTTCTCCCGCACGTATACAAACGGTCTGATGACCCTAAGATCCTGCCGGCGGATGTAGTAATGCGCCTTCATGGTTTTCAGCTTGCCGCCGTGGAACACCGAGACGAGGAAGCCGTCGGTGAGGTCGTCGAGATGCTGGCCGATCGCCAGCACGTTGTAATTGTGCCGCTTGGCGATCGAGTATAGCCGCGCTCTGATCGTCCGATCGCAAAAACTGCACGCGCCGTTCGCGTCCAGAGAATCCACGGACCGATTGTCGCCGGGATCGCAGCTCGACTTGCCGGTATGGTCCTCGTAGAAATAAGGGACGCTCATGGTCTTCAGGTAGCTCATCATACCGATGGGGTCCTGTCCGTTCGTGTCCACCGCGGCCGCGCCGATCTGGAAATCGATGCCCTTCGACCTCGCGTAAAATCTGTACTGATGCAACGTGTGCAGCAAGGTCAGCGAGTCCTTGCCGCTGATCGACAAGCACACCAGCACCTTGTCGTTGTCCCTGATCATATCGAACTCCTGTATAGCCTCGACGGCTGGCTTCCACACGCTCTTCGGCGGGCAATGCCACTGCGGCCTCGCCGCGTCAGCTTTCCCGTCCTTCGCCTCAAACGCGACCTCCTGATCCTCCTCCTCCTTCAAGTCGCTCGAGCACTCCTCGTCTTCCGAGAAGTCGTCGTTCTGACGGACCTGTTGTTTGCAGTTCGGCTTGCCGACCAAGCCGGTCATAGACGCCGCCCTCGGCTTCCGGCCGTAGCTGTTCGTCGAGTTCGACTCGGCGCTGCTGCTGCGCTTCAGGTCCACCGAGTCCAGCGACTTGTCGCTCTCGTGGAACGACAAATTGATACCGCTGTCCTGCGAGCTGACCGAGTTCACCGCCGAGTAGATCTTTGGCAGGATCTTCCTGGCGTCGCCGATCTCCAAGCCGCCCCTCTCCTGGCCGTCCTCGTCGTTCAGGTCGTCGTCCAGGTCGTGAACCACCTCCTCGTCGTCGGTCTTCGACTGGCTGCGCGCCAGCTGCTCGCTCTCCGTCGGCTTCATCACGTAGATCACCGTCTCGTCGGACGAGCACTCGCTGGACATCTTGCTCTCCTGCTGCGTCAGCTCGCCGACCTTCCCCGAGATCTCGATCGGGCCGCTTCGTCTGCCGCTGGACAGCCTAGGCGACGCGGCCGCCGGAACCGGTCTGCCTCTGTCCGGCGAGCCGCAGCCATTGGAGGAAACATCGGAGGCGGAGGCGTCCGGCGAGTGCCTGTGCAGCCCGTCGACGGCGTTCACCATGCACCTGATCTCGGATTTCACCTCGCTGGCCATCTCCTTCGAGAACTCCATCAGGTACTCGGCTATGTTGCTCGCGGTGAACGAGTCGTGCCTCATCTTGTCCTCGGCGCTCGGCGCGGCGACGTTCCGCGAGTGGTGCTGCGGCGTGTTCTCCGACGTGTTCGTCTCCGAGAGCGCGTCGTCCACCTTCGAGATCACCTCCCGGATCTCGGACTTGATCTCCGTCGCCAGCTCCTTCGTCACCTCCTTCACGTACGCGCTCAGATCGTCCTCGGACCTTTGGCCGCCGTTCGCGGTGATCGGCGAGGACCTGCCGCCGGCCGCGAACTTCTCCGCGTAGTCGCCGACCGAGGAGTACGAGGACGGCGGCGAGGCCGTGTTGTGATAGCTGAAGGACAAGATCGAGTGACTCGGGCTGCCGCTCTCTAGCTCCAGCGAGTTCAGCTCGGTCTGGCTGCTGCAGCTGCAATGATGCCGCCTGGGCCTGCCGGAGTTGCCGTTGTTCCCGCTCAAGCCTAGACTGGTCAGCGTTTGGGGACTCAGGGGGAGTGGCGGGATGGGGGAGGACGAGGAGGAGGCGACCTTGCGGTTCACCGAGGCGTTCTCCCCGCCGCCGGTGCTGCCCAGGGAGTTGCATCTGGCGCGGCCTGCGTTGCCAGCTTCTATCAAGTCTCTTTCTTCCTTTATAGGCCTGCTGCCGGCGTGGGAGATCGCACTGAGCGCCGAAGCCGTGACCACCTCGCCGACGGCGAACCTGACGGGCATCGGGGAGCTCGGGCAAGTGGCCGGCGACCTCTGGCCACCCGTGGAGCCATGGTTCCGGTCCACGCTCGCAGACCGTTCTTCCTCGTTGCCGCTGGAGTAGCAAGGCTGGAACTCGGTCGCGGAGTTCAGCAGCGTCTTCCGGACCGAGCTGAGCACCGGCAGGCTTCGGTGCCTCGGCGAGCTGGCCGACATCATCTGCAGGTTGCCGGTGCGCGGGATGTCGCTGTTCAGCCGGCGGATGCTGTTCACCAGGGCCAAGCAGCTGATCTGGTTGTCGTGCGTGGTGGTCGGCGTGTGATGGCCCAGCCGGTTCCAGGACAGCGTCGGATTGAAGGGTACCTCCTGCTTCACGTTCTGCGAGTTGCCCAGCAACAGATCCTGCGCTTCGCTGGGCAGCATGAACCATCGCAACGCCTCCATCCGCTCGGACACGAAGTTGTAGCTGCGGTCGATCTGTAACGGGTATCTCTGCGCCATCTTTCTCGCACGGTTGAAGATGTTCCGCGCGGTCTGAAGACAGTCGCCGTAGTTCTGAGGCAGCACGCCGGCGCCGGACACTCTGCGTTCCGACGCGTTCATCTTGCCGTCGGTGTACCGGATCGAGCTGAGCCACTTCCGTTCTTTGAACACGCTGTTCGTGTGGTGCCGCCATTCGCCGGTGTCCGGGTTCAGGACGTACTGAGGCAGCAGCTTCCAGCCCTCCGTCGCGACCATCTTCAGGGCCTCGAGCACGAAGGCTACCTCCGCTTCGGACATGAAGTACGGGAACGAGAGTTTCGCGAAACCTGGACGCAGACCCTCGGTGTTCGTTTCCTCGTTGTCGGTGGTCTTCTCGCTGAAACGAAGGAGAGAGTATGAACGATTTGGTTTTTGTCAGGGATTGGTGGAGGAATATCGTGGGCATGGTTTAGAGCTTCGTACCCGTCTGCGAGCACCTTCTGGTACTCCTTCGCGAGTTCTTGGTCGATGCCCATAAGGTCGTGAGCGTAACGACCAGCACACGCGCATCCGCCGCGCGATTGTATACCGAAGACGTCGTTCAAAACGGCGCAGACGAAGTTGTGGTGAAGGAACGTGCCGCGCGGGTGACGCACCATGAACGAGAAGATGGGCAATCTCTTGACGTTCTGCGAGCCGCTGCCGAGAAGAATCAGCTCCGGGATCGTGCGCACGTGGGCCAACACTTGCCTAAAGGGGGCAGAGAGATGAGCGTGGTTTTAAATGCAGATACAGTGATGTCTCCATCATTGACGCGCATATTGTCTCCCTAACTGACGCGACGATTGTTCACAGAAATGGAAAGTTTAGGAGGAGGAGACACGATTATTCGAGGCTTGTGGTTCATTTTTACAGTTAGGGGTTGTCAACAATTATAAAAACCAACTGCGAGGCTCGACTGTACAGTAATGTCTCCCTAATTGACGCTCGGATTGTCTCCTTAACTGACGCTCGGATTGTCCACAAGACTGGACAATTTGGGAGGAAGAGATACGATTATTCGATCCTTGCGGTTTATTTTTATAATTACGAATTGCTAACGACTATAAAAACAAGCTGCGAGGCTCGACTGTACAGCAATGTCTCCCTAATTGACGCTAGGATTGTCTCCCTAACTGACGCGTAGATTGTTCATAAAAGTGGACCATTCGGGAACGGCAGATACGATTATTCGAGCCTTTTGGCTCGATTTTATAGATATTAACAATCGATAACCACAAAAAACGAGGCACAAGGCTCGAACAATCGTATCTCCTTTTCCAAAATTGTGCGCCCATTTTTCTGCGCAATCTGAGCGTCAATTAAGGAGACATTACTGTACAGTAATGACGCTCCACTTGTCCACAAAAATTGGCGTACAATTTGGGAACAGCAGATGCGATTATTCGATCTCTGCGACCCGTTTTTATAGTTATTAACAATCGATAACCACAAAAAACGTGCCACAAGGCTCGAACAATCGTATCTGCTCTTCCAAGTTCGAAAATTAATTACAGTTTTTCTCGGGATACAGTAATGTCTCCCTGATTGACACTCATATTGTCCACAAATGGTACAAAAATCGCATCAAAATGGACAATTTGGGAACAGCAAATACGATTATTCGAGCCTTACGGTTCGTTTTTATAGTTACGAATTGTCAACAATACTAAAAACGAGCTGCGAGGCTTGACTGTACAGCAATGTCTCCCTAACTGACGCTCGGATTGTTTCCCTAACTGACGCGCAGATTCTTCATAAAAATGGACAATGGGTTCCTGAGGTCATATTATTTATTAAAAAGAAAATACTGACCAATGAGAGGCGAGCTCGGGAGGCACAAAGCGGCCGAGCCAACGAGCGCATAAAGCCCAGTTCACCTTACTGCGCTCGGCCGTCTCGCGCTAACCGATCTCGCTTCTCATTGGTCAGTACATTTTCGTCAATAACTCGAGAACGATGCCTCGTAGAAAGTTTTTGTAAAGGGAAAAGTTACTTCAAACGACCTCAGGAACGTCTCATTTCCCGGAAGTACCATAATTTTGGAACACTCTGTATATAGGGTGTTCACCGTAACGGTTGCCACGATTTTTGAAGCATTTGAAGCAGTACTTTGATGAGAATAAATTGCATTGATAAAAATTGCGAAAATTTTTTTGACACAATAAAAAACTAAGGTCATCTTGACTTTTTTAAATAGCACTATGTATTTTTAACTCCGTATTGTTATAGCCGATGAAAAAATGAATTCAGTGATCCGCCATACAATGACCTTCAGATGACCTCGAGCTCTCGTCAATTAATGATCTTCCCTAACAAACGCAATTTACTTTCGTTAATATCTCATTAACTATGTACCTTTGTTTATATTTGATGTAACACTTTTTTACGTAGAATTCAACGCTTCATCTGAATCCGGGGAGAAATATTAGCTATTCCATTAAAAAAATTGAAGGTCACCTTCGTATCTTGATAAAAAAGCAAAATAATATAAAACCGATTACAATACTATACGCTCCCCTAGAAACCGTGCAACTTCTATCTGAAGCATTTTCTCATACGACAAATATTTTCCTAGTTATTTGAGCTCGTCGCGTTACGAGACTCGCCCTATATACTGGGTGTCCCAATATTACATCTCTCAATGGGTTCCTGCGGTCATATTATTTATTAACAAAAAACACTGACCAATGAGAGGCGAGCTCGGCAGGCATAAAGCGGCCAATTCAACGAGCGCATAAAACCCAGTTCAGCTCACTGGGCGTGGCCGTCTCGCGCCAACCGATCTCGCTTCTCATTGGTTAGTACATTTTCGCCAATAACTCGAGAACGCCGCCTCGTAAAAAATTTTCGTAAAGGAGAAAAAGTTACTTCAAATCACCTCAGGAATGTTATTTTAACAGCGCGATTCCTACCTGGAGATTTTATCTTGCCGGGCAACGATAGCGCGCGGCGTCACGTTCTCCTTCAATTGAACCGCGAGGCCGCATCTGATGGTCTCGACGACACCGGCAGTGCCGCTCTCCTCCCTCAGCTCCGGGTCACGATGATAGTGATGGGAGTCCCTCATGTCTTCGGTGCCAATTTGATCCTTGAGCAGGGACCGTTTCGCGACGACCACGCCGGGCGACTGGACGCCGCCGATGAATTTGTGTCCGGCAAAAATAATCGCGTCTTTGTGCACCGTTGTCTCGCCGACACCCGGTAAATGCGGATTCATGTCGATCTGGACGTACGGGGCTGGAAAAAAAAGCGAACGCGGATGTTTTCTCCTTTTCTTCTCAGATTTTTTCGGAATTTTTCTTCTTTGCGTTCGGCGACCTTGTCTTATCTAAGTTAGCATCACCGTCGATTATTACCTGCCGCTGTGTAATCCCAGATGCTGAGCGCCCCGAATTGGTGCAGCAGAAGGGTCGTCGCGACGTCGTCCGCCAAAACGCCGGTTATGCAACTGGCAGCGCTGAAGCAGCCGATCATTTGCGTAACACCCTCCGCTCGCACTTTGGCCAGGCTCCGCTCGAGATCGTTCAGGTCCAAGAAACCCTCCCGGGTCTCTGACACTCGCATTATCTGTTGGAATTATTATTATTATTATTATTGCTATTCCGTTGGGATATTGCGATCGGCGCGCGATAATAATCCGCATCGACATCGGCGAATGCCGTCTCGCGAACGAGGATTTCCGAGGCGGTGGCCAAATTGTGGAGAAACAAAATCGTACGGTAATAAAAAGATAATATATACAGTGTGTCCCACAATTATGGTACTTCCGAGAAATGAGGGATTCCCGAGGCGATTTGAAGCAACTTTTTCCTTTACGAAAATTTTCTCCGACGCATCGTTCACGAGTTATTAACGAAACAACAGTGACCAATGAGGGGCGAGCTCTCGGCTGGCGCGAGGCGGCGCAGTCAACGAGCGCGCGAACCCCTAGTTCCGCTCATTGGCTCGGCCGTCTAGTGCCGGGCGAGCTTGCCTCCCATTGGTCACCGTTTTTCGTTAATAACTCGTAAACGAAGCCGCGGATTGCAATTTCGCTGAGGAAAAAGTTGCTTCAAATCATCTCAGGAATCCCTTATTTACCAGAAATACCATAATTTTGAGACACCCTGAATTATATATAATATAATAATAATAAAAGCCATAAAATATTTGTGCGAACGTTTCCACGAAATTATTCAAAACGGAATAACTGTTTTTTTTTTAGAATTGGAATAAGTTACTTGAATTTTGTTTGGAATGATAAAAAGACTGGTCTGTCAGAGAACGATAAAAAAGTCTGAAATATTATCTGTTCAATTTTGCAATCGCTTGCAATGGCTAAATGAAAGATCAAGCTCGTCGTTGCTTTATTTGAGCCTTTGACGGAAATTTAAAAATATGCGTTTTGTAGAATCCGGTAAGTTACGCGTGTATCGAAATTTTTATGGAAACCGGTTGACCTTGATATCGACTGTAAAACAATTATACAAGGTGTACCAAAATTATGGTGTTTTCGGGAAATAAGGGGTTCCTGAGACAATTTGAAGCAACTTTTTCCTTTACAAAAATTTTCTCCGAGGCTTCGTTTACGAGTTATTCGCGATAAACACTGAACCAATGAGGGGCAAGCTCGCCCGGCGCTAGACGGCCGAGCCAATGAGCGGAGTTGGGCTTCGCGCGCTCGTTGGCTGTGCCGCCTCGCGTCAGCCGAGTTCGCCCCTGATTGGTCAACGTTTTTTCGTTAATAACTCGTGAACGGTGCCTCGTAGAAAATTTTTGTAAAGGAAAAAGTTGCTTCGAATGACCAGGAATCTCTAATTTTCCGGAAACACCATAATTTTGGGACACCCTGTAGATTGCGAGAAACTTTAAAAGACACGAGTGTTTCATATTTTCGTCGATCCGAGTAATAGCGATATTTAAAAAAAAAATGTACTTTAGTCATTGTCTAATAGGTCCTTCTGTCGTTTAAAAACAAATTCAAGCGATTTAGTGCAGCTTAGAGAGAACAGTTATATACGTACAGTAATGTCTCCCTATTTGACACTAATTGCCTACTTTTATTTATTATACTTTTATTATACTTTGTCTCCCTAATTATCCACTTTTGGGGACAATCTGCGCGTCAATTAGGGAGACATTACTGTATTTGCTTTTGGAAGGTGTGCGAACAGTTTCGCGTGCCACTTGTAACGCGCGATGGTTTCGAAATTGACTCGAAGTTTGTTTGTTTGCGAAATGGGATCAGGTAATTTGCTATGCCAAAAAGAAAACCTCCCCAAACATGCGATACGATGGAAACGTGTGCTTACACACGCGATATACTGGAGCAGGTCTTAATCGAACGATTAGATTGGATTTATTTTAATTCGGAGTTATATTTAACTCGTTCCGGTAGCTAATCCTGGCACTCTTATTGGATAGTCGGATTAGATCGGAATCACATATCACGCGCGTCGTGCGCACGTAAATACGGCGGGCGAGATTTGTATAGAGACAGCAATAGTCACTGGCGAAAGAAGCTTAGTATTCTGTTAATAAAATAAAGTTTCTGTTTAATATACGACGAATAATAAGAAATATTTTTATTATAAGTGTGTAGAAAATATATTATCTTATATTATACATAAATATATAATATTTTATATACATACATAAATATATAATATTTTACATATTTATGTCAAGGTTATATATAAATATATAATATATATATTATTATAATTTATATAATATATTATATAATATGAGATAATATTTTATATATATTTTTTATACACATATTTTATATATTTATCTANCTGCGGTGGTCCTGGACCATCGGATGAATTCTTCTGGATCCCTTAACGCTCCCCTTCAGGATTCTGAGCGTTCACAGCAGCAACGCCGGTGGCAACGGCCGCGGCGTACCGCTGTCGCCTTCTCCTAACGACGGAGAGCGTGCTCAATTTTCGACGGCGGTGCGAAGACGGGACCGAGGAACGACTGTAATCCCATCTCGCTGCCCGTCTGCCTCAAAGGACCGGTTCTTCGTCGGTGTCCTCATTGTCCTCTTGCTCCTGCGCCGCGCACTGGGCTCCGGATCCCGCTGGCAAGGAGCTGGTTTTTACTCGTCTTTGCCTCTTCTGCTGACCGCCGCCGCCGCCGCTGCCGCCGTTGCTGCTGCTGCTAGCGCTGGAGATACTCGAATTGCTGATCGAGTTAGCGCAGGCCAGGTCCAAGTCTGTTCGGTGGCCGTGCGCGTCTATTAATGGCCGCAGGGCGGACCTCAGGGACCAGGAGAGCCGGGGATAGGTGCGCTCTTGCTGCGTCGTCGACTCTTTGCTTTGATTCTGTGCCTGCGGAAGAATGAATTGTTTTAATGATGATTCAAGTATCGACAAGATTCAAGAGGAACATGGAGTAACGATTGCAGTTCAATAGGGTAGCAATATGTTAGCATGGCGAAGGTCGGCGAAGGTGGAAAATGACGACAGAGGAAGCTGTTGACCTACGAAGCTGTTGATCGATTCACTTGATGTTCATGTACTGCTCGTAGCGTCGATGAATAATGGAATGGAGGAGAAAGAGTGAAGGGTTTGAGGTAATTGAGATAACTGAATCGGAGCGGGTCTAGTGTGACAACGTCGTCCGACACGATCTCTCCTCTACATTTTGAGACCGATTAGAATTTTCTAACATTTTTAGTTTTCACGTGATACTTAATTTTTATAACAAAGTTTGAGCTTTCACAAAAGCTCATTTCTTTCAAAAACCGAGAGTGATGAAGCAATTCGGTTTTCCACATTAATTTATAGTTATTTAGAACAGAAAACAATTAATAAATTATATACCACTATATTCAGAAAACTCTTCTCTACATTTTGAGATCGATTAGAACTCTCTAACGTTTTCACTTTTCACGCAACACCTAATTTTCATAACAAAGTTTGATCTTTCACAAAAGCTCGTTTCTTTCAAAAACTGAGGCTGATGAAGCAATTCGGTTTTCCACATTAATTTATAGTTATTTAGAACAGAAAACAATTAATAAATTATATACCACTATATTCAGAAAACTCTTCTCTACATTTTGAGATCGATTAGAACTCTCTAACGTTTTCACTTTTCACGCAACACCTAATTTTCATAACAAAGTTTGATCTTTCACAAAAGCTCGTTTCTTTCAAAAACTGAGGCTGATGAAGCAATTCGGTTTTCCACATTAATTTATAGTTATTTAGAACAGAAAAAAATTAATAAATTGTATGCCATTATATTCAGAAAACTCTCCTCTATATTTTGAGATCGATTAGAACTCTCTAACGTTTTCACTTTTCACGCAACACCTAATTTTCATATCAAAGTTTGAGCTTTCACAAAAGCTCATTTCTTTCAAAAACTGAGGGCGATGAAGCAATTCGGTTTTCGCATTCTTGTCCGGAAAACGAAGCTCTACAAGCATTTCATATCGGCTATAGGAAATCCGGAAAAGGTTTGACTTTATCGGATAATTATCGCTCGCGGGCCTCGCTAAATGCGCGCCTAACAATGACGACCGGCGCTATAAATACCGCGCTCACCTCGGCAAGGTCGCTCGGCCTGGTTTCCTGGGAAGCCACCAGCTTCTTGCTCTCGGCGAACTGCCTGATCGATTTCTCCCGCACGTATACAAACGGTCTGATGACCCTAAGATCCTGCCGGCGGATGTAGTAATGCGCCTTCATGGTTTTCAGCTTGCCGCCGTGGAACACCGAGACGAGGAAGCCGTCGGTGAGGTCGTCGAGATGCTGGCCGATCGCCAGCACGTTGTAATTGTGCCGCTTGGCGATCGAGTATAGCCGCGCTCTGATCGTCCGATCGCAAAAACTGCACGCGCCGTTCGCGTCCAGAGAATCCACGGACCGATTGTCGCCGGGATCGCAGCTCGACTTGCCGGTATGGTCCTCGTAGAAATAAGGGACGCTCATGGTCTTCAGGTAGCTCATCATACCGATGGGGTCCTGTCCGTTCGTGTCCACCGCGGCCGCGCCGATCTGGAAATCGATGCCCTTCGACCTCGCGTAAAATCTGTACTGATGCAACGTGTGCAGCAAGGTCAGCGAGTCCTTGCCGCTGATCGACAAGCACACCAGCACCTTGTCGTTGTCCCTGATCATATCGAACTCCTGTATAGCCTCGACGGCTGGCTTCCACACGCTCTTCGGCGGGCAATGCCACTGCGGCCTCGCCGCGTCAGCTTTCCCGTCCTTCGCCTCAAACGCGACCTCCTGATCCTCCTCCTCCTTCAAGTCGCTCGAGCACTCCTCGTCTTCCGAGAAGTCGTCGTTCTGACGGACCTGTTGTTTGCAGTTCGGCTTGCCGACCAAGCCGGTCATAGACGCCGCCCTCGGCTTCCGGCCGTAGCTGTTCGTCGAGTTCGACTCGGCGCTGCTGCTGCGCTTCAGGTCCACCGAGTCCAGCGACTTGTCGCTCTCGTGGAACGACAAATTGATACCGCTGTCCTGCGAGCTGACCGAGTTCACCGCCGAGTAGATCTTTGGCAGGATCTTCCTGGCGTCGCCGATCTCCAAGCCGCCCCTCTCCTGGCCGTCCTCGTCGTTCAGGTCGTCGTCCAGGTCGTGAACCACCTCCTCGTCGTCGGTCTTCGACTGGCTGCGCGCCAGCTGCTCGCTCTCCGTCGGCTTCATCACGTAGATCACCGTCTCGTCGGACGAGCACTCGCTGGACATCTTGCTCTCCTGCTGCGTCAGCTCGCCGACCTTCCCCGAGATCTCGATCGGGCCGCTTCGTCTGCCGCTGGACAGCCTAGGCGACGCGGCCGCCGGAACCGGTCTGCCTCTGTCCGGCGAGCCGCAGCCATTGGAGGAAACATCGGAGGCGGAGGCGTCCGGCGAGTGCCTGTGCAGCCCGTCGACGGCGTTCACCATGCACCTGATCTCGGATTTCACCTCGCTGGCCATCTCCTTCGAGAACTCCATCAGGTACTCGGCTATGTTGCTCGCGGTGAACGAGTCGTGCCTCATCTTGTCCTCGGCGCTCGGCGCGGCGACGTTCCGCGAGTGGTGCTGCGGCGTGTTCTCCGACGTGTTCGTCTCCGAGAGCGCGTCGTCCACCTTCGAGATCACCTCCCGGATCTCGGACTTGATCTCCGTCGCCAGCTCCTTCGTCACCTCCTTCACGTACGCGCTCAGATCGTCCTCGGACCTTTGGCCGCCGTTCGCGGTGATCGGCGAGGACCTGCCGCCGGCCGCGAACTTCTCCGCGTAGTCGCCGACCGAGGAGTACGAGGACGGCGGCGAGGCCGTGTTGTGATAGCTGAAGGACAAGATCGAGTGACTCGGGCTGCCGCTCTCTAGCTCCAGCGAGTTCAGCTCGGTCTGGCTGCTGCAGCTGCAATGATGCCGCCTGGGCCTGCCGGAGTTGCCGTTGTTCCCGCTCAAGCCTAGACTGGTCAGCGTTTGGGGACTCAGGGGGAGTGGCGGGATGGGGGAGGACGAGGAGGAGGCGACCTTGCGGTTCACCGAGGCGTTCTCCCCGCCGCCGGTGCTGCCCAGGGAGTTGCATCTGGCGCGGCCTGCGTTGCCAGCTTCTATCAAGTCTCTTTCTTCCTTTATAGGCCTGCTGCCGGCGTGGGAGATCGCACTGAGCGCCGAAGCCGTGACCACCTCGCCGACGGCGAACCTGACGGGCATCGGGGAGCTCGGGCAAGTGGCCGGCGACCTCTGGCCACCCGTGGAGCCATGGTTCCGGTCCACGCTCGCAGACCGTTCTTCCTCGTTGCCGCTGGAGTAGCAAGGCTGGAACTCGGTCGCGGAGTTCAGCAGCGTCTTCCGGACCGAGCTGAGCACCGGCAGGCTTCGGTGCCTCGGCGAGCTGGCCGACATCATCTGCAGGTTGCCGGTGCGCGGGATGTCGCTGTTCAGCCGGCGGATGCTGTTCACCAGGGCCAAGCAGCTGATCTGGTTGTCGTGCGTGGTGGTCGGCGTGTGATGGCCCAGCCGGTTCCAGGACAGCGTCGGATTGAAGGGTACCTCCTGCTTCACGTTCTGCGAGTTGCCCAGCAACAGATCCTGCGCTTCGCTGGGCAGCATGAACCATCGCAACGCCTCCATCCGCTCGGACACGAAGTTGTAGCTGCGGTCGATCTGTAACGGGTATCTCTGCGCCATCTTTCTCGCACGGTTGAAGATGTTCCGCGCGGTCTGAAGACAGTCGCCGTAGTTCTGAGGCAGCACGCCGGCGCCGGACACTCTGCGTTCCGACGCGTTCATCTTGCCGTCGGTGTACCGGATCGAGCTGAGCCACTTCCGTTCTTTGAACACGCTGTTCGTGTGGTGCCGCCATTCGCCGGTGTCCGGGTTCAGGACGTACTGAGGCAGCAGCTTCCAGCCCTCCGTCGCGACCATCTTCAGGGCCTCGAGCACGAAGGCTACCTCCGCTTCGGACATGAAGTACGGGAACGAGAGTTTCGCGAAACCTGGACGCAGACCCTCGGTGTTCGTTTCCTCGTTGTCGGTGGTCTTCTCGCTGAAACGAAGGAGAGAGTATGAACGATTTGGTTTTTGTCAGGGATTGGTGGAGGAATATCGTGGGCATGGTTTAGAGCTTCGTACCCGTCTGCGAGCACCTTCTGGTACTCCTTCGCGAGTTCTTGGTCGATGCCCATAAGGTCGTGAGCGTAACGACCAGCACACGCGCATCCGCCGCGCGATTGTATACCGAAGACGTCGTTCAAAACGGCGCAGACGAAGTTGTGGTGAAGGAACGTGCCGCGCGGGTGACGCACCATGAACGAGAAGATGGGCAATCTCTTGACGTTCTGCGAGCCGCTGCCGAGAAGAATCAGCTCCGGGATCGTGCGCACGTGGGCCAACACTTGCCTAAAGGGGGCAGAGAGATGAGCGTGGTTTTAAATGCAGATACAGTGATGTCTCCATCATTGACGCGCATATTGTCTCCCTAACTGACGCGACGATTGTTCACAGAAATGGAAAGTTTAGGAGGAGGAGACACGATTATTCGAGGCTTGTGGTTCATTTTTACAGTTAGGGGTTGTCAACAATTATAAAAACCAACTGCGAGGCTCGACTGTACAGTAATGTCTCCCTAATTGACGCTCGGATTGTCTCCTTAACTGACGCTCGGATTGTCCACAAGACTGGACAATTTGGGAGGAAGAGATACGATTATTCGATCCTTGCGGTTTATTTTTATAATTACGAATTGCTAACGACTATAAAAACAAGCTGCGAGGCTCGACTGTACAGCAATGTCTCCCTAATTGACGCTAGGATTGTCTCCCTAACTGACGCGTAGATTGTTCATAAAAGTGGACCATTCGGGAACGGCAGATACGATTATTCGAGCCTTTTGGCTCGATTTTATAGATATTAACAATCGATAACCACAAAAAACGAGGCACAAGGCTCGAACAATCGTATCTCCTTTTCCAAAATTGTGCGCCCATTTTTCTGCGCAATCTGAGCGTCAATTAAGGAGACATTACTGTACAGTAATGACGCTCCACTTGTCCACAAAAATTGGCGTACAATTTGGGAACAGCAGATGCGATTATTCGATCTCTGCGACCCGTTTTTATAGTTATTAACAATCGATAACCACAAAAAACGTGCCACAAGGCTCGAACAATCGTATCTGCTCTTCCAAGTTCGAAAATTAATTACAGTTTTTCTCGGGATACAGTAATGTCTCCCTGATTGACACTCATATTGTCCACAAATGGTACAAAAATCGCATCAAAATGGACAATTTGGGAACAGCAAATACGATTATTCGAGCCTTACGGTTCGTTTTTATAGTTACGAATTGTCAACAATACTAAAAACGAGCTGCGAGGCTTGACTGTACAGCAATGTCTCCCTAACTGACGCTCGGATTGTTTCCCTAACTGACGCGCAGATTCTTCATAAAAATGGACAATGGGTTCCTGAGGTCATATTATTTATTAAAAAGAAAATACTGACCAATGAGAGGCGAGCTCGGGAGGCACAAAGCGGCCGAGCCAACGAGCGCATAAAGCCCAGTTCACCTTACTGCGCTCGGCCGTCTCGCGCTAACCGATCTCGCTTCTCATTGGTCAGTACATTTTCGTCAATAACTCGAGAACGATGCCTCGTAGAAAGTTTTTGTAAAGGGAAAAGTTACTTCAAACGACCTCAGGAACGTCTCATTTCCCGGAAGTACCATAATTTTGGAACACTCTGTATATAGGGTGTTCACCGTAACGGTTGCCACGATTTTTGAAGCATTTGAAGCAGTACTTTGATGAGAATAAATTGCATTGATAAAAATTGCGAAAATTTTTTTGACACAATAAAAAACTAAGGTCATCTTGACTTTTTTAAATAGCACTATGTATTTTTAACTCCGTATTGTTATAGCCGATGAAAAAATGAATTCAGTGATCCGCCATACAATGACCTTCAGATGACCTCGAGCTCTCGTCAATTAATGATCTTCCCTAACAAACGCAATTTACTTTCGTTAATATCTCATTAACTATGTACCTTTGTTTATATTTGATGTAACACTTTTTTACGTAGAATTCAACGCTTCATCTGAATCCGGGGAGAAATATTAGCTATTCCATTAAAAAAATTGAAGGTCACCTTCGTATCTTGATAAAAAAGCAAAATAATATAAAACCGATTACAATACTATACGCTCCCCTAGAAACCGTGCAACTTCTATCTGAAGCATTTTCTCATACGACAAATATTTTCCTAGTTATTTGAGCTCGTCGCGTTACGAGACTCGCCCTATATACTGGGTGTCCCAATATTACATCTCTCAATGGGTTCCTGCGGTCATATTATTTATTAACAAAAAACACTGACCAATGAGAGGCGAGCTCGGCAGGCATAAAGCGGCCAATTCAACGAGCGCATAAAACCCAGTTCAGCTCACTGGGCGTGGCCGTCTCGCGCCAACCGATCTCGCTTCTCATTGGTTAGTACATTTTCGCCAATAACTCGAGAACGCCGCCTCGTAAAAAATTTTCGTAAAGGAGAAAAAGTTACTTCAAATCACCTCAGGAATGTTATTTTAACAGCGCGATTCCTACCTGGAGATTTTATCTTGCCGGGCAACGATAGCGCGCGGCGTCACGTTCTCCTTCAATTGAACCGCGAGGCCGCATCTGATGGTCTCGACGACACCGGCAGTGCCGCTCTCCTCCCTCAGCTCCGGGTCACGATGATAGTGATGGGAGTCCCTCATGTCTTCGGTGCCAATTTGATCCTTGAGCAGGGACCGTTTCGCGACGACCACGCCGGGCGACTGGACGCCGCCGATGAATTTGTGTCCGGCAAAAATAATCGCGTCTTTGTGCACCGTTGTCTCGCCGACACCCGGTAAATGCGGATTCATGTCGATCTGGACGTACGGGGCTGGAAAAAAAAGCGAACGCGGATGTTTTCTCCTTTTCTTCTCAGATTTTTTCGGAATTTTTCTTCTTTGCGTTCGGCGACCTTGTCTTATCTAAGTTAGCATCACCGTCGATTATTACCTGCCGCTGTGTAATCCCAGATGCTGAGCGCCCCGAATTGGTGCAGCAGAAGGGTCGTCGCGACGTCGTCCGCCAAAACGCCGGTTATGCAACTGGCAGCGCTGAAGCAGCCGATCATTTGCGTAACACCCTCCGCTCGCACTTTGGCCAGGCTCCGCTCGAGATCGTTCAGGTCCAAGAAACCCTCCCGGGTCTCTGACACTCGCATTATCTGTTGGAATTATTATTATTATTATTATTGCTATTCCGTTGGGATATTGCGATCGGCGCGCGATAATAATCCGCATCGACATCGGCGAATGCCGTCTCGCGAACGAGGATTTCCGAGGCGGTGGCCAAATTGTGGAGAAACAAAATCGTACGGTAATAAAAAGATAATATATACAGTGTGTCCCACAATTATGGTACTTCCGAGAAATGAGGGATTCCCGAGGCGATTTGAAGCAACTTTTTCCTTTACGAAAATTTTCTCCGACGCATCGTTCACGAGTTATTAACGAAACAACAGTGACCAATGAGGGGCGAGCTCTCGGCTGGCGCGAGGCGGCGCAGTCAACGAGCGCGCGAACCCCTAGTTCCGCTCATTGGCTCGGCCGTCTAGTGCCGGGCGAGCTTGCCTCCCATTGGTCACCGTTTTTCGTTAATAACTCGTAAACGAAGCCGCGGATTGCAATTTCGCTGAGGAAAAAGTTGCTTCAAATCATCTCAGGAATCCCTTATTTACCAGAAATACCATAATTTTGAGACACCCTGAATTATATATAATATAATAATAATAAAAGCCATAAAATATTTGTGCGAACGTTTCCACGAAATTATTCAAAACGGAATAACTGTTTTTTTTTTAGAATTGGAATAAGTTACTTGAATTTTGTTTGGAATGATAAAAAGACTGGTCTGTCAGAGAACGATAAAAAAGTCTGAAATATTATCTGTTCAATTTTGCAATCGCTTGCAATGGCTAAATGAAAGATCAAGCTCGTCGTTGCTTTATTTGAGCCTTTGACGGAAATTTAAAAATATGCGTTTTGTAGAATCCGGTAAGTTACGCGTGTATCGAAATTTTTATGGAAACCGGTTGACCTTGATATCGACTGTAAAACAATTATACAAGGTGTACCAAAATTATGGTGTTTTCGGGAAATAAGGGGTTCCTGAGACAATTTGAAGCAACTTTTTCCTTTACAAAAATTTTCTCCGAGGCTTCGTTTACGAGTTATTCGCGATAAACACTGAACCAATGAGGGGCAAGCTCGCCCGGCGCTAGACGGCCGAGCCAATGAGCGGAGTTGGGCTTCGCGCGCTCGTTGGCTGTGCCGCCTCGCGTCAGCCGAGTTCGCCCCTGATTGGTCAACGTTTTTTCGTTAATAACTCGTGAACGGTGCCTCGTAGAAAATTTTTGTAAAGGAAAAAGTTGCTTCGAATGACCAGGAATCTCTAATTTTCCGGAAACACCATAATTTTGGGACACCCTGTAGATTGCGAGAAACTTTAAAAGACACGAGTGTTTCATATTTTCGTCGATCCGAGTAATAGCGATATTTAAAAAAAAAATGTACTTTAGTCATTGTCTAATAGGTCCTTCTGTCGTTTAAAAACAAATTCAAGCGATTTAGTGCAGCTTAGAGAGAACAGTTATATACGTACAGTAATGTCTCCCTATTTGACACTAATTGCCTACTTTTATTTATTATACTTTTATTATACTTTGTCTCCCTAATTATCCACTTTTGGGGACAATCTGCGCGTCAATTAGGGAGACATTACTGTATTTGCTTTTGGAAGGTGTGCGAACAGTTTCGCGTGCCACTTGTAACGCGCGATGGTTTCGAAATTGACTCGAAGTTTGTTTGTTTGCGAAATGGGATCAGGTAATTTGCTATGCCAAAAAGAAAACCTCCCCAAACATGCGATACGATGGAAACGTGTGCTTACACACGCGATATACTGGAGCAGGTCTTAATCGAACGATTAGATTGGATTTATTTTAATTCGGAGTTATATTTAACTCGTTCCGGTAGCTAATCCTGGCACTCTTATTGGATAGTCGGATTAGATCGGAATCACATATCACGCGCGTCGTGCGCACGTAAATACGGCGGGCGAGATTTGTATAGAGACAGCAATAGTCACTGGCGAAAGAAGCTTAGTATTCTGTTAATAAAATAAAGTTTCTGTTTAATATACGACGAATAATAAGAAATATTTTTATTATAAGTGTGTAGAAAATATATTATCTTATATTATACATAAATATATAATATTTTATATACATACATAAATATATAATATTTTACATATTTATGTCAAGGTTATATATAAATATATAATATATATATTATTATAATTTATATAATATATTATATAATATGAGATAATATTTTATATATATTTTTTATACACATATTTTATATATTTATCTATAATATAAGATAATATTTTTTATATATATTTTTTTATACATATATTTTATATATTTCTGTATAATATAAGATTATATTTTATATATATTTTTTATATATATTATATATTATATATTTATGTATAATATACAATAATATATTTACATATTTAAATATTTACATATATTTTTATATACATAAAAACTGTCTCTATTTT